GGGTGGTGGGGTCATGGAGCTCCAGAAGAAGTGGACAAACTCTACCTACAGGGAGATGGAACTCTACAGGCAAAGGGAGAAAAAAGTTCCAGAAGTTGGAAATCACGCATTGAAGCAGGATTATAGAAGTCTCCTCACTTAAGAGGACCAGGAGGGGCAAAGGACATAGGACAGGAGAAGGCAAAGAGTGTGATCATGCCAGCTGGGGGCTGTGTGGGGTCCCAGGTCCAGGCTCGAGGAACTGAGAGGGAGGGAAGTGCCCAGGTGAGGGCAGAGAACAGGTGCTGACACTCCCTCCCCTGCATCAGCTGGGCCACCCTGCCTGGGCTCTGGGGAGATGGATGGCACGCGCCTGCATTGTTCTCAGGGTGTTACTTCTCTGTCCCAGGCTCATGGTCTGGGCTGTCGGGGCAGGAGTCCCTGCAACCTGTGCCCAGTTGCTGGCTCTGGTGCTGACATCATTGCGCTGGAGACGTGAGGAGAGCCCGTGGGGGTGCCGGGTCTAGCACGCACCATCAGGCCAGCACTCATGGTGCGTGGGTAGAAGCAAGGGAGGTACAAGGCTTGGATTCAAATCCCGAGCCCACCACACACTAGTTCGCAAGCTTGGGCAAGTTACCCAACCTCTCTGTGCCATAGTTTTCTATTTATTGTTTTAAATTTTATTATTTATTTATATACATTTTTTGAGACCAAGTTTCGCTCTGTCACACTGCTGAGTCTTGCCCCCGCCAGAGTGCAGTGGCGTCATCACAGCTCGCTGCAACCTCAAACTCCTGGGCTCAAGCGATTCTCCTGCCTCAGCCTCCCAAGTAGCTGGGACTACAGATATGCACCACCATGGCCGGCTAATTTTTCTATTTTTGTAGAGATGGGGGACTCACTCTTGCTAAGGCTAGTCTTAAACTCCTGACCTTAAGTGATCCTCCCGTCTCGGCCTCCCAGAGTGCTAGGATTACAGGTGTGAACCACCACGCCCAGCTTGTGCCAGTTTTCTGATCTATAATAGGGGTGGTAATAGCAGCACTGATGCCTGTCAATAGTGTTGATGTGTGGGTCAAATGAGTTAATATGTTGAAAATGCTTACAATAGCGGCTGGCCCAGTAGAGAAAGGCCATGGAAGCACTGGGCACTGGCTACTGTTTTATTACTTATTATCTCGTACATTTTCACCACAGCCATATGGGGCCCGCGTCATTTACTTCGTTTCAAGAACACAGGCTTTGGATTCACCCATACTTGAGTCTAAATCCTGACTCTGAATCCACCCACAGCTGTGTGAACTCTGGAAGTTCTTCCCCTCCCCAGGCTTTGGTCTCCCCATGCCCGAAAAGAGGTTATTGTCATGAATGAATGGAACAATCCAAGCCAGGCTGAGTGCCCCAGGGCCCCAGGCACTCCTGGGGCAGGGCAGACACTCCTCACAGGCCATAAAAGGGGAGGCCTGGAGAACCTGAGTGGTTAGGAGGCATGGCCAGGGGCTCAGAGCTAGTAAGGAGCAGGGCTGGGACCAGAACACGGGGTGTCTGGACTGAAGCCCAGTTGCCTCTCCCCTGGGCCTTGGTTTCTCCGCCTGTACTGAGTTGCTGAACTGAGGGGAGGGTGCTGGGTTTAGGCAGGGAAGCGGCAGCCTCCAGGCACCAGCTGCAGAGCTGGAACAGAGGAAGCCCAGGGCAGAATGACGTTCCTGTGGCCCAGCCTCTGCTCTCCCCAGAGGCCCACTCCTGAACCGAGCCGCCTCACCAGAACTGGCTCCCCGGCAGTATCCCTGGGATAGGAGTCTCGTGTTTCCCCATCTGTTTCCTCCCCGCCAGTTGCCCTGTGACCCTGGGTGAGTCTCTCAACCTCTCCCAGCTTCGGTGGCCTCCGCTGGGCACCACACAAGCTCACTGCTGGCCAAAGTGTCTGCCTTGTGTGTGCATCAATGGCTAGCACTCACTGAGCACCTGCTGTGTGCCAGGCTCTTCTCTAGGCACTCTACCTGCATTAATTAAGTTAATCCTCCCACCAGCCTTGCAAGTGGCATATTGTTCCCCAGGATGGAAAAGGTCCCATCTCCTAGGCAAGGGACAAATGAGATAATGGAAGAAAATTGCTTTGAACAGAGTTGGGCACTGGTAAGTTCTACATACATGTTTATTGTTATTACTATTTCCAGTATTTCTAAGTTTTCCAAACACCAGGATCTCCTCATTCTCCTCTGGGAAGGCGGGGACAAGGATCAGGCATTATTATTATAATTTTTGCTGCATTCATTCATTCATCCATCCAACAGCCAGGCATAGGCCATGGGCTCTGAGACAGGAGGGCTCCCAGCTCGACTCAGGGGCAGAAAGCCCACTGTCCTCCAGGGGCTGCGTGGTCTGCAGGGACTGGGGGGTGAGACTCACTCCAGTGGGCTATTGCCTTGCAGGAATGGGGGCCCAGTGAGAGACCATATATTCTGATTTTTCAAGAAAAGCTAAAGATCTAGTAGATTCTAGATTTGTGTGACATGTCCTAGTCTTTTATCTTTTAAAGGTTTAGATAAATAAATAAATGTAATGAAACTGTTTTAACCAATTTGATTAAAACAAACTACTGTGTAGGCTATATCCTGTCCATGGCATGTTTGAACCCTCTGGGAAATTGAGGTCCAGAGATGTGAGTGAAGCTGCCCAGGGTCACATTGCTAGTAAGGGGCAGAGCTGGGATGCAGACTGGGACTCTTGAGCCCATGGTCACTTGACCAGGTCCAGAGCATGTGGAACCTAGATTCAGGTCATTAGCCCTGCAGTGGGGACCAGCCTCCACTGAGACTCAGGGGTACTGCTGTAATTGTGGAACCCGGGGCTGTGGGGAAGGAGTTTGGGGACAGGCAGCCCAGCCCTCAGTTGGCTCACATTGTGTTGCGAAATGAGATGCCAATGCCCCGCCCACACTTCCCGCTAGTACACCTGTGCTGGTGTTTGCAGAGTTCCCAAGGGCAGGCCTGGGGACAGCAACGGGAAATCACAGAAATCCAGCTTCCTGCTTCCCTGAGACGTCCCACTACCAGGTGTATGTCCAGCAGTCAAGAGATCTCAGTGGCCAGGACAGGGCTGGACTCAGCTGATCAGACAGTGGCCAAAGCCCTTGCACACCACCGGACGATATTTGACTTAGTCCTCCAGTGGCACAGATGTGACTTGAGCCAGTCTCATTTATACTCTGGGCCTCAGTTTTCCCATCTGTGTTGCAGGGTTGACAGTCTCCATGATACAGAGCTGTGGACGTGGCAGCCCTGTGGTTCTGCAGTGCCAGGCCCAGCCTCAGGAGTGGAGCTCTGCTCCTGGGCAGGGGGTCTTAGGGGGCCTGGAGCAGGGCCGAGGCTAAGGCTGCCCCTTGGCTGGGTCCTTCCTATGCTGCGAGGTGCACTGACTGTCCCAGCCCCAGGGGAAGGGATTCCAGAAGACAGTTCGGCCCACCCCTCCCCTCCACAGAGACGTGCACAAGCATGCTCTTGGCCTCTCTGCATGTCACACAGGCCGATCATCCTGCCACTGCTGGGCTGCTGTGACAATCCCATGTGCCCTTTCTGTATCATAAGTCCTCACTTAACTTCGTCGATGGGTCCTTGGAAACTGCGACTTTAAGCAAAAAGACATATAAGGAAACCTATTTTACCATAGGCGAATTGCTATAAACAAGAGTTAAGTTCCTATGGCATATTTCTGGTCACACAAACACTTCTAACTAAAGCCCCCCAACCCTTCTAATACTAAACACTGAAATACATGTGAGCTACACATACGTTTAGGACAGATTAATAAACACAAGGCAGATAACGCTTTACCCCCGAGCAAGGTTGCAGGTGGCCGGAGCCCAGGGCTCCAGGTGGGAACCACTCCCGGACAGGACGCCCTGCGTCACAGGCGCTCACACCCGCGCTCACTCGCGCTGGGATGGCTTAGACGCCGGTTCACCTACCATGCACATCTCTGGGATGCGGGAGGAAGCCGGGGTACCTCCATAGGAATGGGGAGAACATGCAAACTCCACACAGATGGTGGCCCCAGGATCGATTTCCTTCTCATCAACGTTCTAACGAAACGATGTCAAACGGCATGACGTCATTTGAGGACCCTACTGTGTTAGGCAGAACCCTGACTCCTGGTGGCTGCTCCCTGGCCCAGCCCACCCTGGCCCGTGCCGCCTGCCCAGCCTCCTTTCTGAAGGCAGTGTAGGAGAGTGGAATGAGCTCTGCCACTGTGTGACCCTAACAACTTACTGAGCACCCCTGGGTCTCAGTTTCCCCAGCTGTAAACTGGAGGTGACACCTGCCTGCTGTTTGTGAGGATTGAATGCGAGTAAGCGCAGCCACCGCATGCCTGGCACATAGCGGGTACTCAGCCAGTGCCGGGTCCCTTCTCCTGTGGGGCTGCACACCCAGACCTCCAGGGGCCAGGCACTTGGTTTCAGCTGAACTTCCCCACTGGTTTGGTTCCACACTCAGCATGGCAGACACAAGACGGGCAAATGCTGGCTCCAGTTTCCTGCCATTAACAGAAGGTGCCGTATATCTCCGGAGTCCTGAGGAGGTGGTGCCAGGCTGGAGCCTGTAGCTCTCCAGCCTCTTGGAGCAGCCATTTGGGGTGAAGCTTCCCTGGCAGATCGCTGGCTGGCTTAGGGGCTGGGCTGAGAGACCATCCACTCCCCATCCCATAGCCCACAGCCACGCAGCTCCCCCCCCCGGGGGGGCTCCTGGCTTTGCTCGCACTCCTCACTCCACCACGACTGTCCCCTCGGGCTGCCCACCCTGGCCAGGTGCACACTCCCTCACAGACAAGCTCCACGGCCTCCTTGCTGGTCTCTCTGCTTTTACTCTGAACCCCTGGAGACCCTCTTCCCATCCAGCCAGAGGGGTTGTTCTAAACCCAGATGTCCCTGGCTTTTCCTTAGTTAACACCCTGCCATGGCCCCAGTCCCCCTCTAGCCCTCTCCAGGCCCTTCCCAGTTGGGGCTTTGCTGCCCTCCCTACCTGTCCTCTGCAGGTCCTCACCCCAGGACTCCCGCGTTCTCTGCACCTTCTTACTCCCCAAGCCTTTCACACCGTTGAGCCTTGCTCAGGCTGTGCACCCTTCCTTGCCCTGGTTCTTTGTTTAATATCCAGGCTATGTGTGCCAGGCACTGCTCTACACACAGAGATACAAAAGCAAATGAGCTTACATTCTAGGGGGAAGCCAGAAAGTAAGCACATCAGCAAACGAAGTCAGTGAATCATGTCGGATGGCAATAAGGACTGTGCTCACACACTAAAGCCGGAATGGGGACTGGGAGCGCCGAGGCAGGCAGGACGCTGGCATGTTAAACACCACAGGCAGGGAGGATCTTGGTGGGTCCAGTCCAGGACCTTCCTGCCTTGGGAGAAGTCTGTGCATCTGGTAGTCAAGGGGATGAATCTGGGCAGTTCCAGCAGGGCTTCCTGGAGGAGGTGTCCAGTGATGACCTTGAATGCTGGGCAGAGGGTGTTTCCTACACAGGATGTGAGAGCCCCAGTAGGAGGGATTCCTGATGGAGCTGGGAGTTAATTCACTCCTGACCTACTGGGCACCAGCCATGGGGGAAGGGAATAGCCTTTACCCTAAGACTGGGCTTTGAATCCAGACTACTGGCCCAGGCACCTCACCGCCAGGAGCCCCCGACTCTCACCAGGCCCCATTCTCCTGGATCAGGACCTGCCAGGGCCTGGGCAGCAGGTGGCAGGTCACTGCGTCTGGAGCCAGTCAGAGAGAGCCCGTCAGGCAGGAACATGGTCAAGCAAAGACCTGGTGACCAGCCTCTGCGTGGCCTGTGGGGAGGACAGGTGGCCACGGAGGACACTGGGATGGGCCTTCCAAGGGGCTCCCCTGCCCCCAGCCAAGGTTGCCCAAGGAATGTGGTTTGTGGCCAAGTTGCCACAGCCCACTGTTATTTTATTTATGCACTTAATTTGTCCCATGCATCACTCTGACAGCCCAGAATTAGGCTGCTGTGGGGCCCCTGGCCTGGCTCCTCTGTGCTTGGCCCGGAGGTGTTTCTCTGCTGCTGATTTGTGCCCGAGGCCCTAGGGGATGCCGTGGTTCTGCTGCTATTTGCAGAAGGCCTCCAGGACTTGGTGATCTGACCTAGAATAGTTCCTTGTCGCTGGGCCTAGAGAGAACTCACTGTCCCCATTTTGCAGGTGTGGAAGGTGAGGCCAAAAGTTACACAGTCGGTCTGTAGCAAAGAACCCAGAGTTGTTGCCTCTCAGCTGGAGCACTCCCGGCTGCCACATCCAGCTCAGGATTTTGTCAACAAGGCCTCCCAGCCAAGAGGAGGATGTTCCCAGCTCCCCGTCCGTGGGGAGGGTGGAGGAAGGAGCAAACTGGGGAGCAGGAGTGAGGATCCCAGGGACCCAGAGTCTGGTGGGAAAGTGGCTTCCTGCTCAGGAGCCAAGGGAGGTGGAAGGTCCTTGCCCTCACTGAGTCCCTGGAAGTAAATGGCACAAACTCCCTCTCAGTTCCCTAGGGAGTTACATTACTGTTTGAAATAAATATAAATCTCAGTTTTTGGAGGGACATTAAAACTCACACTGATGGAAAAAGTCTGAAAAAAATCCCCTAAATTTAGTCATTTTTCAGGAATGAAGAGACTGAGCTCCCCATCACAGGAGGCATGCAAGCAAAGGCCAAAATGTCCTTGGCACCAGGCCTAGTGTCTGAATTGGAACCCCAGGCCACTGATTCATTCATTTATCTGCTTGTCCCATAAGCATCTATTTAGCGCATGCTAGTGTCAGGCTCTGTGCCTGGCACAGGCACAGTGCTGAGTGAAGACAGGTGTTCCTGCCCTTGCACAGTTTGCAGAGCAGTGTGCGAAAAACAGTGTCCTGGTTTGAAGTTCTCTGAAGAAAAATGAATTGGGGTGGGGGGCACTGTAGCCGGGTAGCCAGCAAGGGCTCTCTGAGAGGGAACATCTGAGCAGACACTCAAGTGGAAAGAAGGAGGGAGAGAAAGATCCTCTGAACATGCAGGAGGAGCATCCAGGCACAGGGAACAGCCAATGCAAAGGCCCATGTCAGCACTGCCCCATGTCCTCTCCTCGGCCCTCGGCCCTGTCTAGGAGGTGGACCCCCACACCTCCCTGCCTCCCCCATCCTGACCCCAGCAGTATCTTCCCCACACAGCCCCCTGTGCCCTGCCAGCAGAGGGAGCTGGGGGGTTGGGCAGCCTTGTTGATGATGACCACAGACATCCATGGAGAGCCCCCCTGCTGTAGGGCTTGGTTTTCCCAGTGTGGTCGCCCACGCCACTAGGGGTGCACGGGGCGAATTTAGGAGGTTCATGGTTAAACATCTCCTCATTTTCACAGTAATGCCTTTATTTTAAATGTATTTAGAAAAAAGATAACGGGCACATCAAACCTGGTATGATCACCAAGGACACGTGGAGAAAAGGCTCTGTTTATTTCAATTCGAAGCAGAAGAGTACACACACGCAGAGAGACAATGTTAACAGTTGTTTAATCTTGGAGAAGCATATGTATAGGGTGTTCATTTTTCTACTCTTTCAACTTTTCTATGTAATTGAGATATTGCAGAGTACAAAGTTGGTCGGGGGACATAAACCCGAAGAGATTCCTCTAGAATTTCCCTTTAAAACGCAGTTCTGTTTTTCTGCTCTTGATAGCAGAACACAGCAGTTAAAAGTGTAGGCTTTGGCTCCCAGCTGCCTTGGTGTGGCTCCTGGCTGTGGCCTTGAACCAGTTACTTAAACTGCCTCAGTTTCTTCATTACCACTGGAGGGAATGACAGTACCTACCCCCCACACACACACCCCAGCGGGTTGCTGGGAGGCTGTGATGGGTTACTATGTGTCAGTTGTCAGATGGTGCCCACACAAGGCAGGTGCTCGGCAAATGCAGGCTGTGCTATGGGTGGTGGGTTCCTTGGACAGCTCTCAGAGGGTCATTAATGTGGGCCATGGGGAAGTCACATGGCACCCCGTGATGGCCCTGCACTGTGGAGGGGTTTATGCCTGCCTCTTCTTACGCCTGTGCGCGAACACACACACACACACACACACACACACACACACACACACCCCAGCTGACTGCACAGACTGCATTTTTGTAAATCGATCAGATTTACTACTGCTTGCATCAGGCTGTTAATTTTTTATTTCGGTTTTGAAAATTTAATAACATTGTTTTGCTTTCACTGTTCATTTTTAAGATTAAGGTCTAGTTGAGGCAAGTCATGCTGGTTTCCCATTTGTGGAAATAATGAAACATTTCATTTTAAAATAAAGTTAAAGAAGTAAGTCCATCTCAACTATTTTCACAAAATTTTTGTAAATCTAACACTGTTTTAAAATAAAAAGTTTATTACAAAAAACCCTCCAACTTTGATTTTTTAAAAAAAGCTTTTAGAGAAAAGCAAGCCGATTAAACAAATACCAGCCCTGGAGATGTGCAGGCACGGACGGGATGACTGCTTTGCTGGGCACCACTGTCGCTTCCCTCCCAGCCTGATCAGGATCCACCATGTTCTCAGAACACCAGGAGGAGCCCAGGGCGACAGGCCCAGCGCTCTCTGGGGCTGGGGGCAGCCTCCTGAGGGTGGCTGCCAGGGTCCCTCTCCAAGGCGTGACAGAAGTGAGTTTAAGGACAGGTGAAGGGGCGGTGAGATGCCTGAGACTGGCAACTGCGGGGACCAGGTACGCCGTGGGCTGGGGCCTGAAGAGTAAAGCCAGGGTGAGGGCGGGGGCTTTCCCTACCTGGAGCAGCACTGAGGCTCTGGGGGAGATCAGAGAGTCACTCCCCACCTCTCTCCTCTCACACCCTCGGGCTCCGGCTGCTGCTTCCCATTGGCCGGACACCCAGAAGCCAGAGGCCAGGGAAGCTCAGCACATTTCTAGTCCTGGCAGTTGTGGGTGGGAGGGCTTGTAGATTTTGGAAAGAGCCTGAAGCCAGAGTCAGACTGCCCGAGTGTCGTCACTCCCTCCCCTGAGCCTCTGTTTCATCATCTGCTCACTGGGGCACCTGACGCGTCCTCCCGGGAGTGGGGGAAGCGCAGTGGGTCAGTGCGGGGTGCGTGTGAGCCCTGGGCACACGGCGGGCTCGCTGGCCAAACAGCGTTGTCTGCCCTTCCCAAGAGAGGACTGTGCCCTTCTGTCTCCTCACTGCCACAGGTGGGGGGCCATGCTCTTCCAGTTCCCCCATCAGCCACAGCAGGGTCAGTAATGTCCCTGGGGCAGGTCCCTGTGGCTCCTGCCACCACCAGTTTGCTCACGCCAGGCCTCCCACCAGAGACACCAGATGCTCCTTGCTGTGGCGAATCCCACCGCGCTGCGTCTCACCTACTCACCCCTTCCCAGGACAGACAGGGAAGCAACGAGTCCAAAGTCACTCCAGCAGCTTAGAGGCAGGTCAGTGGGACTGGCCAGGACCTTGGCAGGAGGCCCTTTCCCTGGAACTGGCCTGATTTCCTGGCCTGAGGGGCCTCCCCAGGAGGCAAGAGAATCCTGGTCAAGGCTTCTGGCTGGCTGTAATTTTCCAGCCTAATTAAATACCTGCAAATCCATTTGCTACCTAATGATACAGAGGGAGCCCCAGGGAGTTTCTGAAGGTAAAAAACAACCATTCAGATTGAAGGAATAAATAAACACTGCTGTGCAGGTGTCATGGGGAGTCCCGGGGAGTTCAGTTCCACCCGCCTCTGTCAGCCCAGCCCACCTCCCAGTCTTTCACAGGGAGTTGATGGCCTCTGGGTCTCAAGAAAAGAGCTGTGAAAGGACTGTCAAGCCCCTGGGCCCAGCAGGGGAAGCCCTGGTTCCCAGCCTTCCTCACCTGCAGAAAGAAATAGTGGTCCCTCACCTGTTCTCATTCCGCCAGTCCAGGCCATCAGAAACGCACTTGGCCCCAGCCACACTCTTCTCTCTTCCCACCTTCTGGCAGCCCTGCCATGCTCCGGACACACCGAATTCCCTGCCACGCCCCACATACATCACCCGAGATGAGGAAGGTGCGTCAATCAGATTTTGCTGTATAGTAAACCACCTCCCCAGTGCAGGTGTGGGTTTGGAACAACACGCGTTCACAGGTCAGCTGGCAGCTCTGATCTCACTGTGTTTATGGCTGCACCAGGGT